CATGGCAGGGGGGTTGGAACTAGATGATCTTTAAGGTCCCTTCCAACCCAAATGATTCTATGATTTCAGTGAGACTTGGTGATTAAATAATTTTCAAAACCAGAATTTCAGTGTTTCTGAAAGTCTCATCTATAATGTCTGTTCTCACACTGTGAAAAGTCCAAGTTACCCTAGTAGTAACCATGGTCTTTTCTTGATATTGAAACCATCTGCAAGTTCTGTGATACAAGAGAAAAGAAGGACAAGCACCTTCTGAAATGCTTAAATTATGCACAAGACATCTAACACAGACTTTGCTGGCAAGACAGTTTAGTAATTTGCACCATTACTGCCACACCTCCGGGTATCATTTTCGTTAGTGAACAGTAAACAGCATCCTTCTGATAAACACATACAGAACAGAAAATTGCTTAGACTAAAGTAATAATTTGCCATAACACATCTCTAAAGTAAATGAAACACTTTCACCAGAAACTTATTTTAGAAAGACTTCAACCCACAATAAAGGTTGTGGCCATCATTAAAAAAAAAAAAGAGACTATAGTAGTAAATTCTGATATGAAAAAAATGGGTATGTTTACTTTGCTTTCCATGTAGCGGCATCCAGAATTCATTGCCTCTCACCCTGCAACACTAAGTAATGTTCTACAGTGATTTCTGTAAAAGGCAGCACAGTTGAGAAGGCTCACTTTCTTATCTTCCTTCACCTGCTCAAGTGTGCTTCTACAGGTAAGGAGCACTACTGATAGAAAACTTAAGTTGGAAAGCAATCATACCTTTATATGCTCCAAAACGGCTGTTGCAACATTTGTATGAAGATCAATGAGCCTCTTCTTTTCCAGAAGTTCTGGAAGAGAGCTGAAGAGATTAAATACAAACTAAACTGCTGAGTAGCACAGTTAGTTGAATTGTGCATTGTATACAGTTGGTACAAAGAAATTACAGAATACATTAGGATTGGAACTAAAAAGTTACAAAGTATAGATGTAATGATTCTCCTAACAGAAGCACGTTATCCACATGTAACGTGTAGTAAACCAGGCTTTTATGCTGACTAGCAAAAAATACACATAATGTAAGTAATTTAATATTCCTGTTGAAAGCTTGTGTTCTACAACAGATATTTGCCCTGCTTACCTAAACAAATAATCTACTGGAACTATGGCTTATATAATCAACATTTAGTTCATGTCTGGTACATATAAAAGTGTCAATGTCTGCCAAATAATAGTATCTGTCAAATAATATTGTATGTCAAATAATCACCAAATAATATAAGTAATAGTATCTGTCAAACACAGCCTCTAGATGTCCTGGAATTTGTTACAGGTGCTTCTGCATAGAATACAATTCTCTGTGCAGATTCATGATTAAAATATTGTCTTTTGTAAAAAGGAAAACAATGGTTAAGTTTACTTTGTAGAAATCTTGTTACTTAAGGTGCTGTGATCTACACGATTTTCACTGCTGGAACTTGGGCATCACATGTATAAAAGACTGCTCAGGGTCTGTACACTTTCACATCCAAAAGTACAGCGTCTAGCTCAGTTTAGTAATAAGCAGACGAGAGGGCACTTAATGACATTGACTGCATGTCCTGAAGAACCACAGCTAAGTTACCATACCTTCTTTCCTCCTTTAAACAACTGTAAATTCAATATTACCTATGATGATTGGCCATTAGCACTGCCTTTGTAAAGAACTGCGTTTAAAAAAACAAAAGAAAATAGACAGAAGATCCTCTATGTTAGAACCTCTGTTTTTTAATTACTAATAGATATGCCATTTTCTAGAAACTGTAAAGCATAAGACATCTATGAAGGGTATATTCTTCCTGTTAGCAGATGATGGACAACAATGAAACACCAAACCCAGTTTAGTTCTTCCAGCAGAAGCATGCCTGAATGGCAGATCTCTGCAGTATTTGGACATCTCAGAATAATCCTGAAGACTAGAGCTGAAACATTGCAATAGTCAAGTTCACTGTGTTATATACTTTTCTGAAAGGGGACAAGATTTTCCTTAATAATGCCAGATTACAGAATACAGTTATGTAGAGGCTAATTGACCAGTGAAACGCCCTGATGAGGCTTTAATAATATGATTTTTTTTTTTTTGCTATCAGTTTAAAGCTTCTGATGCATTTTATACGTTGCTGCCTTAAGCTGAAAACAAATATCTTAAAACCAATACTTTTAAAACTTTATATGGAGACCTTGAAAACATCTGCTCACTTTTTTGAAACTGTGTGATCCAGCACATATCCTTTGTAATTCCAATCAAACTCTAACCAGGGCATAGCATATCCAACAATTTTTGAAACTCACAAAGAGACAACTAATGCAGACACACGCTGAATTTCACAGGACACTGGGCATATCACTGCATCTATCCTCAGAACAATTATCTTTCCTCTTCCTTCTGATTGGGGTCTTAGTGAGAGGTAGCAAACTGAGTATCTCCCCTCTCTGAGGCACCAGTGGAATGATTTACAAGAACAGACTTACAATGAGGATCAAGTCTATATCTCAGATTTTCAGTGTCATCCATGGTGGCTAGGACTCCAGGAGGAGGATAGTAGATTTCTCATGCAGAGTTCTTAATGACTATAATCTTGCCAACAGATGTTGCAGTAACTACATTAATCAAAATGTAATTAATTACATACTGTGCAAAGCAAGCAGATGCTTCAGGAAGTGGATTTGACTAACAATTCTTTTAAGGAAGGAATGCAGACAGAGGTAGTTGGGTTTTTCTGGTGGAAGAGTGTAATCAGCAAATCTATGATGCAGTTGGATTATTCAGCTTTGCTATGGAAACACTCCAAAGCCATCTGTAGACAGCTCACACACACATGCTGTGTAAGTTACGTGTGCAAGTATTTGTTGAGGACATTGCATTAAACTTTACCAGAATTATAAGGCATTTCAACTCTATTATTGAGCTGAGTAGCCTACTTTTAAAGATATTTATTCCAAAGGATATTAAAAGTGAATTGACAGAAAGAATTAGAAATGGTTCCAAATTAATTAAAAAATAATGCCGCATTGATTACTTACCTGACAGCTGAAGTTAGCTTAGCTGTATTATCAGAAAGCATACTTATTGCTCCTTCATCCTCCCCTTCTATACCCTGGTTTTGGGGAAGGGTTTGGAAAGAGGAATAATCATAGTCACAATAATAGAAAGATCACACATGCAAATACAGTCACTGCATTTAGAACCTGCTTTCTCATAACAGTATTAATGCCTGGATTGTGTTTTACAGTTATTATGGAAGTCATGTAGATGTAACACCAATAAACGCAAGAAAGTGAATCTTGTCATGAAGTAAGATTCTCCTAATCCTACTTTTAAGATTATATTATGCCTAAACTTTCGCATGTGCTAATAATTTTTGTGCAGGGAGTGGCAGAGTGGGCTAAGCATCTCTACAAGTCCTATTAGGCTTTATGTAAAGCACGTATATGTTCTGAAACTTACCATGATACTTTTAAGTCTTTTGACTTCATCTTCTTGGGCTCTGTAGGATTCCAGTTCTTGCTGAACAGACTCAGCAACCTCTGGAAAAGGACTAACACAATACTCTGCATTAAGTTCAGTTAAAACAACAAATTGAAACACTAGAACTAGACAGGTTGCATGATGAAAATGATAATGAAAACCTTTTCAGAAATATCAATACACAAATCATGCAGTGGTACCAAATCAGATACTCAGGTTCACTCAAACTTTCCAAGATATATTCACCGCTTTCAGTATTTTCATATAATTCTGATAAAAACAATTTTGTGCTCTGTAACAAAATCCTAATATACAATTAATATGGACAACGAATATATTGACAGTGAGCAGTCCTTAAAAAAAAAAAAAAAAAAAGAAGCTTAAAAACAGAACTAGCATAATATGAAAGAACACCTAGAATTCATATTGACTAAATAAATATAAACTTTGTACCTACACAGCTTACCTGCCCTTATGCTTCTGCCAAAATTTATCAGATGCAGTTAAATCATAGGACTTCTTGGTTTTTTTCTTTGGTCTAGCCCCTGCTGGAGAAGTTTCTGTTCCTGTTGATTCTTCCAAGTTAACTCTATTCAAATGAAAATCCTATAAAAAAGAGGAATCGTATATAAATATTTTGTAATTTTTTAAACAGTCCTTTTTACTCAGCCAATTATCTTCTAGAATATTTTCTAGAAAAAATATTAACCCCGCTACCTATTAGGATTTCCTAAGGGGGCAGGAAACAGTTTACTAGCTAACTGGGTAGTAACAATAGCAATGTAAGAACTCTGAAATTAATCACAATTATTGAAAAACCATCAAACAAAGCAACAAATGTTACAGAAACACAGCTGATTGTCTCAGCAAGCAGTCTTCTAAAATTGAACTCTGAACAATGTTTTCTGTACAGAAAATAAATTATTTAGCAATAAGCAAGTTCTAACTACTGACCAAAATTTTAAGTAACAAAACTTTGTGTTGCATATAAAACAAGTTTCTAAGGATGAATTTCAGTTACACAACTACAGCAAATATATCAAAGCTGCAAAGAAGCTCACAACACCAGAAACAGGAATATCCACTGTGAGGAGTTCAGGTACACATTCACTGCTCTTCTCCTATTTTATAGACACTAGTGGTATAGTGAGTACATGATAAAACAACAGTTTGCAACAAAGCTGCTATTTCTCCATACAGTTTTTTCCTTACACAGACGCATGAGCCTACCACATCTTTTCACTAGATGACATAATTAGGCTCACATACTATGCCACTGCACTGGTTCCTCTGTGTCTTCTGTTCCTTTCCCTTCCATAACTTTTGCCAAGGACAGCTCTGCACCTTCTGCGGCATATATATTTCCTCTGGTTTTTAACAGTGATTATAAGTACTCCACTTGCTGACTTTATTGTAACCCTTTTCAAGAACACTTAAAATGTCAGAGGTGCTCTTTGTTTGGCAAATAATGATAGAGTCAAATCTTCAACCATGGAATCTCTTACAATGCATAATTTTTCCAGAAATAAAACTCCATTTTATTATGTTCATTACAGTACAGAATCAGATCACTGTAAGTTAAATTGTCAAATAAAAACGATTTAAAAATGTTTCTAGTTATCCCTTGGCAGAGCTCACACTTAAAATGAAACACTATAATGATCCATGCCAGAACAGAAAGAAAACCAAGTAGCTACTCGAAGGAAGCACATGCAGTCAATGAGCAGAAACCTCATCTTAAAAGGCATCCTTAACGTTTCAGCAAAAGAGAACATTTTTCAAGTACATGTGTTCAATAAAAACTTAAAGGAAAAAAATTGATTACAAACTCAGCTGTGATTTTTAAGAGATCTGTTTTGGCTCAATTTAACTCATCAGTGACCTGAATTTCCAAGTTATTTTTGGCACTTACAAGGAGTTTTGCCAAAATTATTCTTATTGATTACAGTGTTCTTCCTTTCACCTCCCCATTTTATCTTTAAAAGCTTTCTATCCATGCCTCTCATTTTTCTGTACCCACCCCTCCAAGTTTTTTTAATTGAGATATGGGAATCACTTCATACAAGCCTGTTTATGTGTAGAAACACCACCTTTATAATCTAAAAGGATGCAGCACACAGCTTCGTGGCTGAGTTAACCTTTAGTTCAACATCCCATGGAATTCCTGAACTACTGTAACTGCGAGCCTAAATGAAAAACAAGTTATTTGGAAGTACAGTTTACATAATCATTACCTTGGTAACACTTTCAAGGTTACAATTCATGGTCTTTTAAAAGGCAACTGTAGTTATGTATGCTCAGTACGTGAAAAGCCTAGCACACTTGTCTTTAACTTGACTGGTTTTAAAATTAAAAATTTGCCCTTGACATGGAATTGCAGGCCACTTAGTTACACCTTCACAGACAAATTCATAATCCCATCAACTCAGTCAAAAACTAAATGCAACATGAAACACTGAACAGTTGTTCCAGAGAAACTACTGAAGGTTGATGCAGTACAGATAAATATCCAACAATCCTCAAATCATTCTTCCAGTGGTATTCTAACACCCCTCCATATCTGTAGCAGTAGCTGTCCTCAGCTTCCATTACACCTTTGATCCCTTTGCATCTTAATGCACCAAAATCCCAGCCCAACACATGCCGAAGGCCACCCAACACTACCTTCTCTACCTGACACCTTGGTAGGAGGCATGTACATGGAGCTTCGCATGGATTTACTACCTAGTAAATGAGCACTTGCTGATTAAAGAGCGGCAGGTAACAAACTGGAATACGTGTAGACCCTGTGCAATAGCATTTACACCTGTAATGTTTCTAATTTGGGTTTCTATCCCCTACTCTTCCACTGATTTTCAAAAGAAACCTGCAGAAATTCAGTAGTTCTACTTGCAAGTCTCTAGCCAGTTGAACAGTTACTGAAGAAAAGACAGTGTAAACCATGTTTTTCTCACAGATTTCTTCCTAAAGAAACTCACCCAAAAATTCTTTATTTGTAAAAAGCACCCTTAAGAGGAAAGGACTTTTCATAAGGCATGAATTACATAAAATGGAATTTAAAGGGTCCTGAAACATCCCACTAGTGCTAAAATACTGTCATTGTAGCAGTGAAAGTTTCTGGACAACACTGTACGTATGACTATATAGTTCACAACCAACTTTGTATACAAACACATATGTACATGTGCATATTTTACGTATTCCTCTAACAGACCCAATATTAAACCCAAAATATTTCTCAAAGCTAGATATTGAAATGATATGTGTGACTAACCCTGCAGTATAAAAAAGCTTCCAGAGAGTAATTAAACTTACTTATATTATCTGCTATTTACACTGTAACTATATATGAAATGCATAAATTTTAGGTAAATAGCATTTGCATTAATTCAAGTATATTTCTGCTAGTGGGTTTATAAAATAAAACTTGAGGAAATATAAGCAGTTTAAGGCTATCTGAATTAAAAAAAAGTATTAAAAAAATCTGCTTTAGATTCCTTACAGTAGGGTCATATACCACTTGGTATCTCTATACTGAACCCCTACACCACCTTGTGGAGAAAAACAGAACTAGGTATTGTTTAGAAATCTAAACTAATACTAAAATTGGTTTAAAAACTCATTAAAAGCATTTATTTTTCATAACTGATTGGCACTTAATGGATTTTTGAGTTTACATAACATAAAAGATCATGAACTACTGAAGAAAAAGCTAGGATTGCTTAATTACCTATCTTTTGATAATATCAAGATTTCAACTTTTTAACCATTGTAGAAGTTATTGTTAAATAAACTTTCTAGAGAAAATCTTCCAAGTTGTTTAAAACTAACCAACTTGCAAATAAAACAGTCAAACCAGATTTTGGATTAAGAGAGAATCAGTATTAAATTTAATAACAGACTGAACAAAAAACAGTCTTGGTAACAAAATCAGATTTATTCTTACCAGAACGTCATGCACTAATGCTTGGTATGTCCAAGTATGATGTAGAGGAGTTGCTAAATCTATGTTTCTGTCAACAAGGACTAATAGGGGCCTTTGGAAGCTGAAAAGATGACATTGTATTAGTACTTCTTTAAACATGTTTGTAACATCCCAGTAACATCCTGAGTTATATCGGCCACCTTCTACAGCACATATTTCAAGATAAAAGCCAAACTGCCAATTGCAGAGTTCCTCCAGCGTTCCCCAAAGCATCTGAGGCTGATCGTTGTCAGAAATTCCATTAATTACTTGTCTTAGTAATTACTTATTTTAATTTGATCTAAGTGAAATTACCAACACATAAATATTGAGCAGAAGTCAAAACTCTAAAGAGTAACTAGGCTTTGATGTATTAACTAATATCACTTTGTGTGGATACACATTTGAGTTCCAAACAACTACCTGAATGGGTAATATTCAACCTTAATCCCCATCATGACCTTCAAATATAAAATGTATCTCTCAAGGATTTTCAATTTCATTTTTATCGTTGTTTGTATATGAATTCTATAAAGAAAAAATTATGAACTTGTGAGATGCATTGTGGTAACTCCATCAACACTCAGGTTTGTGGAAAAAGAACGCAGACATGCCTGAATGTCTTGGGTTATGGCTACCTGAAAAATGTACAGTGAAGACAGGAAGGCTGTGAACAGACAGAACATTATTGCAACCATTTCCCTTAAACACATTAACCCTACAGTAAACGCGGTGTCTAAATTACAATGTATTTGAACAGAGTAAAAGCATGTTAATTCCATGCTCTGGACTTGCTTGCAGTAACTATTTTCACATAGAAATATAATCTCAAGAGCCTTAGCCACCTGATTCTGAAAGCCAAACTAAAGACCTGAAGCCATTTAACTGGTTAAAGGTTCCTATGTTTCCCTTTCCTTGCATTTTGGTTTTCTGAGGGTAATAATGCTATACTATCAGGAAAAGAAATCACCCCTCTGAAAGAAAAATAGTGGTTATAACTCAGTCCTCATAACAATGAGGGAACTGGTATTTCACAGCTATTCTCTCTCCTAATTCCTTTCAATTGCATTCCATTTTGCCACTCTCGATGTTTTTTGTGTCATTTATCAAAGTTGTGCTCTTCATCTGAGATAAAAATATGTACATAATGACTATTTTGTATACTGTTAAGAGATTGTAACTGTTTCCTTCAGCTACAGTCTTCCCAATAGGCCTCCTCACCTTTACTTGTACAGTGTAAATTCCTATAATACATTTTTCTAAGGCAGCCTGTGAAGTATTCAACTACCCAGGGGCAATGGTATACACAGGAGGCTACATACACACTATCAGATGCATGGAAGCAACCACAATGTCTTTGCCTACCCCTCTTTCCACTCAAAGGATTCAAAGGGTCATGACTTAACAGTCCTTAACTATCTAATTATCCAAGTGGTAGTCCTTAAGCAGTCCTTGTCTGGTAGACAGAGGGATCAGCTGAGGCACATTTGCTTTTGACATAACTACAACTGATAACAGTGCTTACAAGTGAGAAAATCGGTGTTCCTTTCTTTTTTAATGGACTAAAGGTTGCTAACAGGTATGTTCAGACACCCAACTGCATATCATGGCACTGTAAACTGAATGTATCTGCAGAGGCTTTGTTCTTATTGGTTTAGAGGTTGAAAAAAATTACCTGGTTTGTCGAATAATTTTTGTCTCAACTGTCCTAGGGATCACACACTTATTAGCTATAAAAGTTTTCAAACTGGTTATGCTAAGACATTGGAAAACTCCCTTAAGAGGTTTAAAAAACTTCCTTAAGAGTTTTAAAAGTCCCATAAGAATTCTTTTAATACAAATTTGAACCAACTTCTTCTAAATACAGTTTACACTACAGTGGTGACTTATCCTAATGAGGTATTTCAGACAATTGAAATATGAAAAATAAAAATACAGTTATTACTAACACCATACCTGAACTGGCCAGCTCCAAGTGTGTCACCTGTAAAAAGACTGTTTCTGGCATCTCTTAGATTCTCTCTGAGCTTCTTATCTAATTTCTGAGGGAGGGAAAAACAAAACAGCTTTTAACAAACCAATGGTTTCCTAAACTCTTCATATGATCAACATTTAAAGATTTATTGTGCTGTTCTAGTAGGTTATAAATGTCTTAGCTGCAGAAAGCCTAGGTCCACTGCACAAGGGAAAGAAAGAAATGTCTTCCTTCTATTTTCTCCCTCCATATCTATATCCAGGACTACAAGAAGATGTTTCCTTTATGTCCACTAATCTCCTCCCAGGCAATTAGCACCCTCTCCCTAAATATGCAAATTGAAAATACCAGTAGGAGGCACCAAGAGGGAACCACAGCAGAAGCAGCAAATTGGGCTGTCAGACAGTGCCACAATAAGTGTTTCATAAAAGTGAGATTACTCTTGAGTGCATGCACACTGAATACTTAGGTTCAATCAGTATTAAGGCTTCCCTGACAAATAAAGATATGAGGAAAATGGAAGAAATGACACGCAGTGACTCCTAACGAAGACAGTGCTGTAGAGATCTTTAATTGTGGAGATTTTAAAAGTGTAGTAATTATATCTCTATGTGATGATCACGTCCAGTGCTAGCTTAGTTTCATCTAGTAAAAATGTCATGTAATTCTGGGGTTTCCCACTAAAATAGATAAAAATTTCTTACTAAGACACACAGAAAAACTCACACCAGACAGCCACTTTTTAAACAGTGTAGATATAGCTTAATGGTTGTAACTGTAATGTCTGTGAGAAAATCTTGATAAACTCTAGATTAGGAATGACTATTCATATTTCAGTTTCTCATCAGAAGATTTCATAATATTACGATTTCTGTAGATGAGATCCATGGAATTGAAATCAGAAAGGAAAACTGGTATACTTCATTTCCAGTTTTATTTCCTTCATGAGGAAAAGGATACAATGACACTAGATCTCTGCAGAGTATGGAGAAAAGTAATCAAGGTGTTAGGAAACTTTTAAAACAATGATACTTATTTAGAAAATAGTTTCTTACCACTGCCACCATTTCAGCTGCAGTTCCTCTTGAGCATCTGATTATAGGAATAGCTCCTAACAAAAGATATATTGACTTCTACTTCCATTATAATTTTCAAATTACAAGTTAGTGTGCTTCTCATGAAACAAATTATAGTAACATTCTGAGCTAAATTTTTTCAAGTGGACAATACTTATTAAATTTGTCTCTTGCAGTCTTTATCTATGAAACAAAAAATACTATATAGAAATATTAAATACAGTTTTACAAAAGTAAGTGAATGCCTCATACAGCAATTTTTGAGAAGTATAGTATACACTAGAAAGATAGCTATTGTACTGTGAAGGGGACAAACAATCTCATATTGAAGCATTAAAACTTAGTTTCAAAAGGTTAGAAGTCCCTTGAAAAAAGTAAGTACTGTAACACCACCACCATCACAATGTATCGGTTACAACTCATTGCAGGGTAATGTTATTTTCAAAAGCACATTTTCCATTGGCTTTCAGGTTTCAAAATCTTTAGCTACTGTTTCTCACTTATCTATATAAAAATTAAAATTGCAATACCATAGAGTATTGAGTGACTGAGTAAAAGAGAATTAAATTTGTATCATGACAACACTTGAAAGAACTCATAGGTCCAATGCAATCCCTCTTCAACAGACTCCCTCTCAGCAATCCCCATCTGCCCTTGTAGGAATGTGATCTCAGGCTGATTGATTTCAGTGAGAATTTAGATTAAATCTCATCACTGTGAAAAATGTGTGAGCTAAGCATCAAAAAAACTCACATAAAGTACATAAATTTAACACATCTTCCTATTCCTGGAGTTATTTCAGTTAGATCTTTGCAAGGTTTGTGTGAGGGTTTTTTCCCTCTTTTTTTTTTTTTTTTTTGAGAGCTACAAATCCAAACTTAAAGCACTATTGATATTCACTGCAAACTAGAATTATTTAAAAACAGTGAATCCAAACCTTTGCCTTTCAGTATTCTTCTCCCATTAATAGTGAAGAGTATAGGACAGCCTTTATTGTCTTTTGCAGTGATGTACAGCAATAATTTGAGCATGGTCAGTAACCCACTCAGTGAACTATTAAAACTTCTGTTGCAGATTTAAGTCTGCCTTTAATTTGCTATACGAAATCACTAAGCTTCTAGGTATGTCATTGAATATGAATCTTTTCCAAAAGGAAAACATACAGAAAATATGCTATAATTTGAAAACTTACCAAGTGTAACAAAAAAACAGAAGAGACTATCAACAATAGTGTCCATTATAGTTTCCATTTCTGTGTCCGTTATATCTGGTCGGTTAATGGCTAAAACAGTGTGGAAAAGAGTTAAGAATAGGGTTAAAGAAGTTTATGCCACTTTAATACTGAGAAAGTAATCCTCTTCTTACATAATGGCTGTTAATAGCCAACAGCTTTTGTTGCAGAAGAGATCAAATTGTGAAATGCCCCTCTAAGCACATTCTTTTTATATTCTTTTTTTGAGCAAAAAAATAGGCGAACTTAATTACTGCTCACTGCATAAGGTCGAACACTACACAGTCTTTTCCAATTAACTTTCACAATGCATACTGTAACTTCTAGATTGTGTTGGTACTGGATTATTATAAAACTTCCAGAAAACCACGTGACATAACAGAAACAGCCATCCACTTGAAAACTATTTTTCAGATACAAAATCTTCTAGAACTACCAGTGCAATTTAAAGAAAATTACAATATGCAGTTATCCCTTGTAATGGAGAATCCTTTCCTTTCTTCTTTTTTTTTTTTTTTTAAATAAATTTACTGTCAGTCTCTAGGTTAGGGGTAATTCCCAAGTTCTAAAACATTTCATACTACAGATAGAAAGATTTCCCTCACATATTTAGGTCAGAACAAGAGACACATAGCAACATTTCTATTAAATAATGAACACTGACAAGAACATAATAGCCAACAGGAAACAACGAACCTAATCTTATCACAGCTTTTAAGTCAAGCACTACCTCAGGACTCATGCCATAAATTCCAGCCTCCTTTGTTTTATTTTACCTTTAAAAATTTATTGCATAATTACCTGTCTTATACTCTTTCTTCAAAAAGAAAATTCAAAGCTGTGAAAGTTAATAAGCCTTCCTTCCCAAATTTATGCATGGCCAGCCATAATCATTCTCTAACTTTAAAGGTACTTTTTTTCCCCAGCTTTTGTCCTCTAAGAACTTCAGAGAGATGGATTATATTAGCAATTTCTATCAGCAGCTATACTTAGTAAGCAGATTTTACTAGGCTGCCAAGATGACAGCAGCAACAGAAGCACACCCCCTCAGCATTTTTTGATTCTGAGTTCGTTTCTGAAATACAAGCACCAAGAAAGGCAGACGGTTCCTCATATCTGTATTTTTCTATAACAATAAAGCTTTGAAATTAGCTGGGGCTATCACTTTGTAGTTATCTCCAACGAATGGTCTCATAGTTTACCGGGGAGAAAAAAAATCTTTTTACTCCCCTGCCTTTCTCAATTTTAAAATTTAATTCCCTCCCTATTACTATGTTTCAGCTCCTCACTTACGATGTTCCAGTAACCTGCATATTGTCAGTGCCTTCTAATTTTGTGTAATATGCACATTTTGTGAGCACATTCCTTTTTTTTGTACCATTTGTACCAACACAAATATTCAGTATTACTGCTCCTCAGGCCAACCTTTGAGAAACTCCATTAATAACCTTTCAGCAAAATGGTATTTCATGTTTTCTAAATATTCTTCTCTCTCCACTCTAAGAAGCTTATTGCATCTATTACAGAAAAGTAAGCTTAGGTCTCCTATATTTACTTGTTGTTTTACAAAATCAACAGAATTTGGTAAAGAAGTATTTAAAGATCATTAAACAGGATGCTGGGAAAATCAAGTTTATACCCATATTAGCACTTACTCTTCCTTCCACACAGTCACAGAAAAACACAACCAGAGGAAGCCTGAGGAATTATCTAGTCAGTCTTCTAGCACAAAGATGAGTTAAACCTATGTTATTTCTGTGTCTAAACCAATTCCCAAAGCATCCCAGTCATGAAAATGCCATAACATTTATAGGTAATCTACTCTAGTATTACACTATCCTTAATGTTAGAAGGCACTCCTAATACCTGACCAGAAACTTTCTTGTTGCAATTTAAGCTCATCACTTCCTGTTGATTACTACATGGACAGAGAGAATATGTTATCTCCTTTCTGTCTGTGAAAGTCTTTTACATAATGAAAGAATGTGATCATGCTTATCCGTCCTGATGTTACTTCTCTGTAAAAGCAGTCATTCCGCCAGGAGATCAGGAAACTGAAAATTAACCTTTTTTGTTATATTTGCTCTTAGTCCACCCATTCAGCTACATGCGTGGACACACTGGGCAGTGCTGCTGCACAAAAAGCAGCCGTCTTTCATCACCATCAGATTTACATTGATTTATGTAGATTATGAAACTATATACAAACCGGAAGTTTCCTGCCAGGGTTACTCTCCAAAGGCAAAAAAGGCTACTCCTTCTTTGCCTCTGCACTCCTACTGCCTGCCTGTGTCAGATCTATAACTCACGCTGCAAGATGGATCAGCTCGGTGCTCTAATGGAAAACTAATCACTCTCTGTGTTAGATTAAATTTCTGTTTGATCAGCTTTTGGAAGCAGCTCACTTCTAGATTGTTTTAAGCATAGCGTGAAACCATGTGTCATGCGGCAAACTGCAGCAGCCCAAGAGAGGAAAACAAATCACATAGAAACTGACGGGTGCAAAACATTTTCAGTCATTTTAATTTAAATTCCTTGTTAGCTAACAGGAATCTTATGAGAGCTGATCAAGTATCTTTACATACACACAAACACATCACAAAACAATTATTACTAAAAATCTTAACAGCAGGTTTTAGTAAAAAAAAAAAAGTTTTCTTTTCAAACAAAAATCCCTTTCCTTCTGACAATGGAATCGATCCCCAGTGTGAGATGGAACTCAGTATTATGGATCCAATTTTGAAGATACTGACTTTGGAAACTGGGCAAAAGAGGAGAAAAATCCCACTGCTAAATGTTAAGCATACAGAAACTTATCTCTGCCTGGTCCTGAGTGAGTATTCTGTGCATCCAAATAAATCAAGAATTAACTGTGTGAGAATGTGTGTAGACACTGTGACTAGACTAGTAATGAAGAGCTGCTGCTAAAAAAGGTCTGTCTTGCCTCTGAATTACACACCTGCTGTTTTGCTGTACATTGGATTTGCTGATCACACAAACGAGCTAGTACTTTCTATCGAATGAATCAACTGAACAGACCCTCTGAAGCTCCAAGATTACTGGTTCTGATGTACAAAGGAGATCACGAGGGAAACTACAGCAGTGACAGCAGGAGAATCCACCCTGAAATGGGTGAACCCACCCATTGGAGCAAGAGGGGCAGGAGAGGCAGAGTGACGGTTCTCTATTAATTTAGCATATTAGAATGGGTGAGGGGAGCACAAAAGTCAGATCAGGGGGAGAAAAACCATGTGGACAATTATGACAACCAATATATATGTTGACTTGAGTGGCCATAGCACCACAGCTGTAGAGGTAACTGACCTAAGGCAGCCACCTGGTTTTCCTGCTAGGCTCCAACCAAAAGAGGTCCAACAGAAGTCCCAAGAAAAGAAAGAGTTCCATGAGGAACAAACTTCACTTTCAACTCTTAAGACTTTACGAAGAAGCTGACATGCTTGGCTCACATACTTGCAGAAGCATTTATTATTTTACAGAATGACATTTCCCACATTCTTCCCTGCGCTACTTCAGACCCTGATCCTAATCGTCACCCCTTGAACACCCCCACAAGTTTTCCTGTCTTGAATACAAAAAAGAGATACCGACTGGTCACTGTCTAGAAGATACAAGAAACTCTATCAGTTAAAGTCATCATCTTTCTTGCTTTGCATTCCTTACAGTAACTTTCCAACTGACCATTCACAGTGAAACCAAATACTTAGTTCCTTAAGAACTGCAGAAGGAATTATGACTAAATAGTGGTTCCTAAACACAGCAGCCACCCACAGTGTCTATATAGAAATGTGAACAATATGAATTTTTTCCTATATTATTCCATGTATAAAAAGCCCTACTAACCATTTATGTCTATACTGCAGTTTTGCTTTACTAAACTTGTGATTTAAAAATATATAATTATTTTTCAAAATTACAATAGCCATGTAGTAAAGTTGCTGAAAATAATATCTAATAACTGCTTCCTTCATGCCTTTAAACTACACATCTAACAGATTATCCTGAATTCCTGGCAGATCAAAGCAAAACAAAATAATTGCTTGGTATTAGCTGCAACTTCAAAAGTAAATTTCAACTTTGGACATTCTGATATACTTTTTATAAAAAATTTTACTTACCACGATATGAAACAAGTTCTTTGTTTTGGTTACACAATATGAACATGTCATCTTCTAAAGTAATAAAATTAAGATATTGATCAAATACCTAGAAATGAAGAAATAATGGTCAAGTCACAGTGAAGCATAAAAAACCTATCTGTGATTTACTGTGACTTTTTTCTAACCTTTTACAGAACTACCTATTAAAAGAAAGAAATGCAAGATATAATGTATGAATTAAAAAGCCTGTGTAAGGACTGAGTGATAACACAAAACATTAAAGCACCTGAAAAGTGCTAAAAGAAAACAGTCCAGCCTCAAATATTTCTGTGGGCAAATTTTGGTAGCGAATCATCACTTAAAAAATACATAGGGAGGACATTATAATATTATAGGTTTATTTTGTATTAATATGAAGGGCTATAACATAAATCTTGCTCTCAGACAGAAGAGAGGAAAGAGGGCAGTATCTAACACAAACAGAGCTTATACCTCACAAATTCTAGTTTTTCTGTAACATACCTGTACATTCAGGAAAAAAATTAAACCTCTCTATAGCATAAACTGTTAATGGGACGCCACAACAAAAAAATCAATTTAGTAAAGTTAGTTCACACTGCTGCACCAATTTACTCCTGC